GGCCTCTTTTCAAAACATTTTCAAACCCACACACAAAGCACCATTTCAAACAATTGAAAATGCAAGGCAAATGATCTAAGCAAGTAACTAAGAGCCCATGGATAACCATGGATAGAAAGGGTGCTAATACCTTCCCTTTCTATAATCTACTCCCTGAACCCAAGAAAACATCTCAAAGGTTTTTGCTGTGCTTTTTTAACCTTTCCTTAGGATAAAATAAAAAGTCGGTGGCGACTCTTGCTCAACCGAAACATTTGCGAAAACAAATGCAAAACCCAAGTCAGTTCTCCCACCGTATCACAAGGTGCAACTTGAGAAACTGTTGAATCAGTAGTAGTTACGGTTCGTGACGGTATTTCGTATACATTTGGGTTATCAGGAACTTTCATTCTTAATATATGCTTCCTAGACGAGGGTTTATTATACTCTTTGGTTAACTTCCATTTCTAAGCTGCATACACTTAAGACAAATTCTTAGCGCTGTGTCCCACCAGGTATGCCAATTTGTTTACTTTGGAAAATGGTAAACAACCGCTGGTCCTCCCAAAAGTCCTAAAACTAAGGCTAACTCGCAAGATCGACCAGTTGATCTTAAGATACGTGCTAATAGTTTTGTTATTATACTTATTCTATCGAAATCTTTATTAAGGGAAACGAATTTCCGTGACTAAGGGAACAAGTATAACGACTTTCCACACTATGAAACGAACGACTGGCTGGTGACTCATGACCGACATAAGGTATTCATATGAAAATAAAGTTCAATAAACTGACTGACTAGTGACCGACAAAGAGTATTGAATTGTTTACGCTAAGTAGAAAATAATGTTAAGGCTTTGTTAGACAGTATATAGAAAGCAAATAAAGTATTCAAAAGAGATATTTGAAAAATAAAGGATTTGCATGAAATAAAAGTGGCGATTCACGTACATCAAACACTTCTTCACTCTTTGTTTCCTAACGCTCGGAATGACAGAGTTTTTACAAGTGATTTTGAGAATACAAGTGAACACACCAAAAACTACAATAAATCTGCATATTTATAGTATTTACATTGTAACTGCTTGGATGAAATCTACGGACAACCTTAAAATCTTGAGACAACCGCTTCACTGGATTTCGCCACCTATTTGGCGCTTAATCAAATTGTAAACCACTGGCAACTGCTGATGACTTTGAAATTCAAATCGTCCCACTTCTAGATTTTGAAGGTAAACCACTTCTAACTCACTTCGACACTTTCCCTTTGGCAAGATTCAAAAATCAACAATAATTCCTCTAAGTCCAGCAACCCTTTTGGTTGATAGAAACCAATTTCGACTATTTCCCTTGTCTTTCACCCTTTGGTCGACTAAACCAATTTCGACCATTTCTTAACATATATTCTTTTATTTCCTTTTGGTCGACCTAGCTCAATTTCAACAGTTTGGCGTGATATTCTTTAAACATTAAATCTAGTTTTACTAAAACCAAAATTTCAAACACTTTGACTCCAATTTCCTAAAACCCCCTACTTTAGAGGATGGCCCTTAGTTTATGGGAATATCCTCATTTAATACACGTGCTTGAATACCTTTAAGATTTTTTAAGGTAACAGCTGGTCAGGTTCATTTGAAGGCAGATGTTCTGACAAATGTTGTAACATCCTGTATCATAACATCAATACATGTTGTCTTTTTTCTTAACAGATTTAAATTGATAATGTGAGATTCCTTTTGGTTTTATCTCACTAATTTTTCGCAGGTCAAGAATATTCAATTTGGAAATTTTGATTTATCTTCAGTTGTACATAGGTTGCCAAAATTAGGCTTTGAGACAATTTAGGAAACCTTTTGTTTTGTTCCAAGATTTAAGGAGATCTTTCTGCACAAATTGGTGCAGCCCTCAGCGTTTGCAACAAGGAATATCTGGGCGAAGATTCAAGCCAATGGATTACTGAGGAGTATTTAAAGAAATTACCAAGACCTAAATTCATTAAGAACTTTGTAAAAAAATAAGGGAAAGCCTACTTTTCTTAGTCTTAGGGTTTGAAGATTCTTCAAGGGAGTTTCTATTTTTGTACGTTCTCATGTATCTTTTGATGCATTTGAGTTGACTGATTGTTACTTGTTTATCAAGTTATTGTTCTTCTCTAAGCTTTTAAGCAAAAAGTCGAGTATTGTTCTTAGGGAAGCTTTTAAGCAAACTAAGTATTTTTTGTATTGGAAGTGTAATCTTCTTTTTGGTTTCTTGAGACATCATTTGGGATTGAGATTGTTTTTTATATCACTGCAATGATTGAGAGTGAGATGATGATTTCTCATATCTAGGAGGTTTCTAAGTAGAAGTTGCACTGGGTAGGGATTAAGTGGTAAGTTGTAAACTGAGATTGTTTAGGCTTAGAAATAATACTACTGATAGTAGATTTCCTCCCTAGCTTGGTAGTCCCCATAGTAGGTGAGTTACACCGAACTAGATTAACAATTCATTGTATTCTTTTACCTTCTGCACTTTTAAATTTTGTATAATTTATTTTGGTAAAAGTTTTTGTCAGTCAGCAGATGTTGTAACATCTGACTTGATATTGTGTTTGTGTGTTGAGACATTAGTCTTGACACTTATATTGTGTGTGCTTGAATTTCAGCAAGGATAATACTATTGTAACATGTTATCTACCACTCTCACTAACCGTTGCAAGAAGACAACTAGAATTTTGGTATTCCTATTTTACCCACCAATGAATTTCTTTTTGGCTGTAAAAAGAAGACTTTGAAGAATCAGAAGTTGAAGAGCTTGAAGAAACTCACGCTTATTCAAATTGCCGAAACATTGCCAAAATAGCTCTGTAATTTTTGTAAAGTAAAGGATTGTTGCTCATTAACTTGCTTGCAAGGAACTTTTGTTCGTTAAATTTCTTAACACTTTTGTGTTATTACATGTATTTCAATCTTGTTTAATATGATTTTGAGAAGCAATCTTTTAAACACAAAAATTTGTATTCAACAGTGAATTGATTGTTCTTTGAGTGACCAAATGTTAGTCTGTACACTCAAGAAGTCATTGACAGTTTGTCTTTGAGGTTTTAGTTCCTCGAGAGATTAGAAATTTAGTCAGGATTCTCAAGAAGACATTGGTAATTGGTCTTTGTAGTTTGCAACAGTGACAATTAATCTTGTTGTGGTTCTGTAATCAATTTGGTTATAGCGAATTAAGTCCTTATTGAGAAGGCGAAATTACCTTGGCGGGTGGACTGAATTTACTTTATTAACAGTGAATCGGGATCAAAATAATTGTGTTCATTTATTTTTATTCTTCTGTTAAGAGTTGGTGTTTGAGTTTCGAGAAATTTTATTTTGTGAAACCCAATTCAAACACCCCTTTCTTATGTTTCTTGCACCTTTAGTATTAAGAAAAAAGACACTACATTAGAAGAATTCATCTAAGACTAATTTTTACTTTTACTATTAAGAATGAATTTCCTTTCTTGGATTGACACTCTCCAGACGTTTATGTTATTGCACGGAACTGGATTACCAATTCCTTGTGTTGAATTTACTTTATCTATATTTTAATTGTTACTTCATCCGTCTTGCCATACACATGTCTGACATATTGTGTTTGGCACCATTCCTAAGGGAGACCGAAATTTAAAAGTTGGAGAAATACGTCTTCCACCTATCCTTTTTACCTTTTTCTGAACAAAATTTTTCATTATTCATTTTTAATACACTTCACATGATCTAAATCTCTTGTTTTTTTCTCTCCCCTTAGCAAGTATATATATATATATATATATATATATATATATATATATATATATATATATATATATATATATATATATATATATATATATATATATATATATATATATATATATATATATATATATATATATATATATATATATATATATATATATATATATATATATATATATATATATATATATATATATATATCAATTTTTCTCCATCATTAATTTATAAAAATCGGTATAATATGTCAAAAACTTGATTCCTTTCTTCACTCACAATCTCCTTGGTCTTGTTCTTAACTTTCTTAAACTTTTCTCAAGTCTCAATATTTTTACACCTAGACCAAGATAATTTTTACTCTAACTATAATGTAAACACTTACATTCCTCCACCATGATTCTTTATCCTTATGTCTAAAACCTCTTGATTCTTTCAACTTTTCTTTAACTACTTTTCTAATCTCTTAAGTCATCTTATTCCACATATAATTTGCACTTCCTCAGGGTTGTCCTAATCCCCATTCCAAGATATTGTGTTGAAAACTTTCTTATTTTTCACCCTTCAAATCTCATCACTTGATCTGCAGCGCTTCCATGTGACTTCTTCTCTTTTCCCTCTTCTCGATTCTTTATACATAACAAAATTTAAATATTTTAATGATTCTCTCTTTGAGGCTGGAATATATCCTAAAGAAAGCCACCTAAATCCTCCAAATTTTCTACCTTAAGGAGTTACACTAACCTAACCCGAGGTGCGTAAGTATAATAACATTAAAGTTATCTTGCTCCACTATAAATTTTAAGGTTATGATTCTATCTCCTACTATTTTCACATCCGTAATATCCTTATTCCATTTTTTGTCTGTAATACCACTTCATTTTTTATCTAACTTTTTCGATGTATCAAAGCTTAGATTTCAAATTGTCTATTTCTTTCTCCTTTTTAATTGTCCATTTAATTTCTTGTACGCACATGAAACGGATCTTTCTTATAACCACAGTATCCACTATTTTCATAGTTTTTTCAATGTTTAAAACAAATCATATTTTTATAAGCTAACTTTTTTGCCCACACCCATTCATAAAAATATAAAAATCTTATTTACATTAAGACAACGATGCAATAACCATTACTCTTTTAACATCGGACTCAAGCTACATGCAATATCGTAATTGTTTTTACATTAATAAATTAAATCCAAATTAAAATTGAACCGTAACTTTTTTTTACCACCAAATTAAACATAACAACTGTTTGGAAGTAATGGAATATGTGGTATTGTCTTTTCAATTTTCCCTCATTACTCTGTTTCCACTCCCAACCCAAAACTCTCATCTTGTTCTCACAGTTCTCACTCACCGCGCTCAACAACAATTTCCTCCATCCAGCGTCTTAGTTAGGGTTTATCTATCAGACACATCTCTCACACCGAAAACCCTCTCAACAAAACCCTACTCTTCCCAAATCGCGATTCCCCCTTCTCTTTTCGCGATTCCCGTTTGTCTTCACAGAGGGTTCCGTTTCAAAATCGAAAGTCGGAAACTTTGGTTGAAAAAGAGATGAAACGCAGCGTTTCACTGGTGCTGTTCCGTGTTGCGCAATGTCGTCAATTGCGAAAAAGAACTTAAATTAGTTTCTTTTTATTCAAAGAATTTATCAAGGTTTCCGCGTTTTTGTGTTGCGGTAAGTTGGATTAATTTTGTTTATCTATAAGTGAATGCTGATTAGGTTGAGCTAGCTCATGTATTTAGTTGTTTTGATTATAGTTCTTTATGTTTGTTTTTGTTCAGGGGTTTCTTGATTGAGTGTGAAAGTTTTTTTTTTTCTTCCATTTTCTTGTGTTGCTTAATTGGGACTGTTAGTTGAGTATCTGGTTTGCACTTTATATATGTATAATCAAGGGAATCACGGTTCGAATTCGGGGCAGGGTTCAACCCCTCCACCTCCGCCTGTACTGCTGCCACCGCCACCACCACCACCATTGGGTTATCAGCAGGCATTGCCGCCTCCTCCACCGCCGCCTCATTTTCAGCATTTTGTCCCACCACCCCCACCAGCAGCTCCGCATGTTTATTTACATGGATCCCCGCCCATGCCAAATACAAGACCTTCTTATTCTATCCCTTCACAAATGCACCATGGAAATGGCATGGCTCAACAAACTTTCCCTATCGTTCGACAAAATTCGCAACATTCTCCGAATTTAGGTGTCCTCAGTCATACCATTACGCGCCCAGTTCCTCCCTCTATTGGCCACTCTCGTCTGGAGACATCTTGGGCTCCTAGGCTGCCGAGTAGAGTGTTGCCACCTCCTCCCTCTTCTTCCCAAGGACAAATTTTGCATAATCATCATCTTCCTCCTCCACCACCTCCACCCCGTTTTCATGCTCCGTCTCCTGACGGAGTTTATGGGCATTCACCGCTTGGGAATTACCACCACATGCCTTCCATCGCCCCTCCACCGTCACTACCACCATTGCCAAGCTCTCCGCCACCAGTTCTGCCATCTCCTCCACCTCCTGCCCCTCTTATAGCTTCTACATCCTCCCAAGCTGCATGCACTGATGACCCATACTCTACAGAGCTTCCTAGCTTTGAATCAAAGGCTATGGGGTCAGTAGAAGGATTTGCAGCTTCCTGTCCGTCTGGTACTGTGCCTGTACATAATTCTGATTCTGAAGCCAGTCAAGATGTTGGAAATTGTGGTGATGTTGCTCTGGATTCCCTCAGAGATGAGCTATTGCCAACTAAAAGTGTAATATTAGATCTCCCCCCACCTCTGCCCCAGCCAGCAGAAGAAAACACTGTAAGTGATGATTCTGACATGGAGATGGAAGGTTAGTTTGCATTGTTACCCATCACTTTTTTTTTAATGTTGTTAAATTATGATATCACCGATTCTGGTATAGAATTGGCGAGTGCTGAATATGTGACCAAATCTGTTACGCATTCTTAATATTACATTTTTGTCAATTGGATTTGGCTGCTAATAAAATGCGAGTTTTATTTTCATTGTTAGAGAAGCCAACGGATTAGAGTTTTATTTTGTAGTATAATATAATATACAGATAAGCAATTTTAGTTAAGTGTGGTTCATCCTTAGTATTTCATCGAGGGTTGCTGCTCACACTTTAAAATGTAAAGACTGACTAGACTGTTTGCTTTGATATAATTTCTATAACAACGATCTTAGTAGTGAATACCTTAGATATTATTTTCTGATACCATGTTCTCTGCTATGTTTATACATATATGAATTGGTTTAACTGCATTTGGTGGGGGAGAGAGAGAGAGAGAGAGAGAGAGAGAGGGGGGGGGGGGGGGGGGGGACTGGTTTAGTTTAGCTGTCGGTATTCATTTTAAATTTTTGAATAATATCGTAGTAATAGCTTGGCTGAAAGTTGGCTAGGGGAAAGAGAGGAGTAATCAAACTCGGATGATTTCCTTTAGGGTATATTTTTATTTTGACAAATACTTACTTTTAACAAATAAAATTTTGTTGTATAACATGAGCCTGATCTGCTTTATTTTATTTCTCATGGGCTGGTTAAGATGATATCACACTTTCTGACAAAGACCAAGGATCAACTTTTGCAACTGAAGGGGTATCTCAGCCGCATGATCCGGTTGATGAGGTGTTTAGCATTAATGAGAAAATACAGAGTATGCAGAGTTCAACACAAGACGAACCTGCCAAGGGCATCTTATCCAGTGGTGTATCATGCTCTGGATCCACAGGAGTCAGCAAAAAAAATGAAGGTTTCATTCAAGAGAAACCATTGTTAATTCTTTTTTATTGATTTTTGCATTACTTAGGTGCTTAAAGTTTCCATGCGATAATCAGACATTTATTTACAAAGGTATCCCTTTTTCATACAAATTTTATAATATTTTGGATGAGTTTTTCCATCTCTTGATCTCCCAATGTTAGAATAATATGTGCCTACCTTATTATTTCATTCCAAATCCATGCTAGAGTTAACTATCTTACATATATTCCTTTATTCAGATTATTTTATATTCCTGTGTTGATATGACTTAAAATAAAATGCAGGACTAGGATTTGCATCTGATGTTGAGCCCATGAAATCTGCAAGATCAGATACCAAGGTTCTTAGTTCCGTGAAAGACTCGATTGAATTGGCTGAATCCCTTCCAAACACTGGGCCGGGAAGATTGGAAGCTTCTCTAGACAAGGATTTTATAAGAAATGGTACTTCTGATCACGGCGAAGCAACCAATCCCAATAGAGATTCTGGGCAACTTATGAGGATCGACAGCCCGATTAGACTTCTTCAAAATTATGCTTCTGATGAAACTTCAGATAATGAAGATGGAGGTTGTACAGAAGATGCTAATAATGTTATTACAGACTCTGCAGGAGCTGATTCTTGTGTTCCGGATGCCCTTAAAGATTGCAAGAGTAATTTGGAGACTGGGCTTGGATTTGAAAGTCCCTCTTATACTGAAAAGGCGTTTGGGCTGCTCTCCAAAGCATCACAGAATAATTCAGAAATATCTCCATGCTTAGTACAGGAGCCCGAGGTAACCTGTAAAAGATCTGTCTCAGCTACTAGTGATGGGTGTGTTGCTCCTAACCTTGAAAATCAGGTGTCTGTTAATTTTGCTTCTTCAGTTGAAGCTTTACAAGGAGAAGACAGGTTAGGTGATACTGGTTTTGACATGGATAGTAAGAGTGGTACTGCTGAACAAAAACGTGAGAAGGAAACCTCAAAGTTTGAACCAACTGTTTTAAAAGTAGATGAATTCGGGAGGCATATCAGAGATGGTGCTTCAGATAGTGCCTCTGATGTATCTCGCAGTCATCGGACTAAGAGGACGAACAAAAGAGATAGAAGCCGGAGTCGCAGCCGGTCTCGATCTCCCATTGACAGAAGGAGTAGGAGAAGAAGAAGAAGTCCTCGGAGGAGAAAGGATAAAAGAAGCCTCTCTCGCAGGTATGTACTGCCACAGTGCGTTGTTGGATATGCACCGATACTTTGTTTTTCCTTCCATACCATACTCAATTATATGGATATGGTGATACTCTCCATTGCACTGTCGACATGTGTTAGTGTGCAGTATTGGAGACTGATGGAACTGAAAAAATCCATCGTAAGAAATTAAATGAAGAAAGTATATCAACAATGTAAAATATTCTATTCAATATATTTAAATAGCTGAAGGAAGTGAACAATTTAGAAAGTAATGAATTCCATTCGACCCTAGAGCAAAGCTCCTCAGAGGAGATAGTACCCTCTGCCTAACCATAACGGTTCATTCAGTATTCTAATCTGATGCATATAATTCACTAACATCACTATTTATACTACTAAGGCATATCTAACATGCCAACTAAGAATCCTAACTCACTCTTTATTAATCATATCTCCTTACAACTCGCATTAACACATAATACTTCTTTTTTCCTTATGACCCGTTTGGTCTCTATTAGAGATCATTTAGAAAAATAAATCCCGATACTCTATATTCTGTTGACATACCCTGCACACGCCATCAGCACCTCATTCTTCATGACTATTCATATCTCAGATACTTATTTTATAGTATATATTGAAGCTCCGACTCATTAAATGCAACATATATAATTTACATCACTGCTTTTGATTACAACGAATGCAATGTACATAACCCCATTGACCAAATTTTCGCCCATATTCATGCTTTCATCACTATTTTCGGTCATGATTGTTTAAATACAGTTATATATTTTTTCCTATTTTGTGAAATGCAATTCTATATATATTTTAAGGATATTATTTTTAAGAATGTTAGTAAAAAATTTCAAGTTTTGTTGTTGCAGCTGGTCTCCTCGGCGGCGTAGAAGCAGGAGTAGGTCTCCAATCTTAAGACGTTCAGGTGACATTCATGGGGAAAATGTGAGAAGAGACAAGGATCAATGCTTTGATTTCTTACGTAGAAAGTGCTATCGTGGAGCATTATGTAGGTTTGCTCATCATGAATCTGACAGGAGTGCTACTTCAAGGCGCTCCAGGAATAAACATGATCTGGAATTCGATTCTCGTGAAAAAATTTCTAGGGTTAATGAGGAAGTTAAGAGTATTTCTTCTAAAGTGTCAGATTATGAGCATGATGGAGTCAGAAATCAGGACACAGATCTTCACCAGAATATAACTGGCCGGGAAGTAGTGCAAAGAAAGGAAGATTTTGAGGGCCGAGCTGTTGTGTCTACTACCTTTGGTATCCGTGGTCAATCGTTTAATAGCATTCCAAGTTCTGATGGTGTTAGAGAGGTTTCTCCTAAGGTGCATGAAACCTTAGTAGTTGGAGAAAAGCCCAAGACTTCAATACATGAAAGTGATAGCTTTCAGAATGCATTACGTTCTCATCAGCAGCACTTGGTTGATGACTTTCAGCCTGAAGCTTTAAATCATGCTGATGCTTCTAAACCATCTGGTGGTACATCTAAAGATGTTATTCCATCAGAAGATGGTTCATTTGTTCAGCAACTACAATCCAATGTTGCTGTTGAAATTCCAGAACATTCTGGTGGTACATCTAAAGACGTTCTTCTTTCAGATGATGGTTCATTTGTTCAAAATCTACCATCCAATGTATCTGTTGGAGTTCCCGAACATTCTGGTTACCCATCTCAGCTTCTAAATGTGGCCGGTGTGACTGGTTTGTCATCTGATAAAAGATCTGCTAATGAGGTTTCTGGTAGTGAATCTTTACCATTTACGTTACCATCTAGACAACTACACACTAGTTCTGTTGGTCCATGTGTAGCATCAGAGCAGCCTTCGTTGTACCCTCAGGGTTCTAAAGAGTTACCTCCACGAAGTGTTTCATCGGTGCAAATCCCTCTACACACTTACCCATTGCCAGCTTTTGCTGGTTCACATTTCCAGGGTGAAAATTCCGGGCATACGCCACAAATTCCAAGACAATATGGTGTGGTGCAGCAAAATGCATTATTTCCTTTCCAATCTCCTTACCCACCTCCGTTACAGACCCCAAATTCTCATTTCAGTGTACCGCCTCATAGCAATTGGACGTCCTTGCCACCACCACCACCGCTGCCGCCACCACCACCACAGGCCGTGTATAATTCCAGTTCAAACTTGGGTGTTGCAAAATCTTTTATTTCTTCCGAATATAATCAGAATCAACTGCATTCGAGAGCTGATTATGTTTCCCAGACTTCCTTGATTCCTGGGTTACCATCTAATTCTCAAAATTCAAAGTTTGAGGATCAAGCTTACCCTCCAATGCAGGACCATTCACAAACTATCATGCGTACAAAACCTCTCTCTCCCAAGCATCTCCATCAGGGGCACCCGGCATACCAATCACTTTCAAGCTCCACATCTTTTGGTGGCCAGCATCATCAACCAAAACAATTTTCCTGGGAGTCAGATGTGAACAGACCACAACCTTCATTGGGCGGCAGGTTGCCTCCTGAAGGACATTTCAGCACTTCCTCCCACATTCATCCATTATCACAGCAACAGCAATCAGTTCATAATTTTCAATATACTTCATGTGATGTTAATTTGGCTGGATCTGGAGGAACTGCTACTGTATCCAGATATCCACCAGATATTCCTGATAGCAACCATCCAACTTCTCTTTCGCCTTTGGGAGCATCAAGAGTTTCCGCCCATTATAATCCTTATGCATCAACCTTTGAGCAGCCGCTAAGTTCAAAATTCAGTTCAAGCTTTTTACGACAAGAAAACGATATAGTTTGTGGTAACAGTTATGATCCTTCTAGATATAGGGAAGGGGATAGTGTTGGGTCAAGACATACGGCATCGCCAAAACCAGCAGGAGCTGTTGGTCAGATCTTGCCAGGGTCTGGTGAACAATATGATCCACTTTTTGACAGCATTGAACCATCGTCATCTTTGAAGAAATTTGATTTTGAGCAAAAGCAGGAAGTTACAGGCGAATCCAATTTCAGCCTAAGGCCTAAAAGTTCTCATATGTCTTTGGATGCCAAAGAGAAGAAGCACGAGAAGGTTGGGGCTGTTGCCTCTACCAGTTCTCTAAATAATGATGAATATGGTGAGACAGCAGATGCTGAAGTGGGTGCTGTTGACAATGAGAGCCTAAGTAATGATGTGGATGGTGCAAACATGTCTCCGGAGGAGGATGAGATTAATCAGACCAAATCTCCAGGGAAAAGAAAGAAGAGCAAGGATTCTAGATCAATGAAATTATTCAAAGTTTCCATTGCAAACTTTGTAAAAGAGGTTTTGAAACCATCATGGCGACAGGGTAATATGAGTAAGGTGGCTTTCAAAACCATTGTGAAAAAGACTGTAGACAAGGTGTCGGGAGCCATGAAAGGCCACCGTATACCCAAATCTCAAGAGAAGATAAGTCAATATATTGACTCATCACAGCGAAAGTTGACTAAACTTGTGATGGTAATTGATCTTCTCATCTCTTACTGTGTTTTTACCTCATTGGAAGTATTTAAGTAACTGTTTATGTTGGTTTTATGTTTATACGTCCCTATCTGAAGCTGTGCATACTTCACAGAAATAACTCCAAGCTCTGCAATTTATTAACAAGTCTGTTCAGAGAAAATGTTCAGAAATAACTTTTAATGACTTTTCATGTCCTTTATTTTCTGCAGGGTTATGTTGACAAGTATGTCAAGGTGTGAAGGTTGGAAGGAACTTTGCCAATGTTACTTCAATGTTTAATTGTCAGTCTACACACTTTAGTAGAAAATACACTAGTGCTTACCTGGAGTTTGCCCCCCCTTCATTTCAAAAAGTATTGGAAGAGGATCTGTGACAATTGTTCACCAGCATTCCATTTCCTGAAGGTTTCTTGGTCAACCTCAAATGTGTATGTATATTGTGATATAGTTATTATTTTGTAGTACTTTGAAGAGGGGCCACCCATAAGAAGTTGGATTTTCCCCAAAGTTGTCTCTTATATTGTTTTAATGACTCATAACGTTAGAAGTTGAAGTAAAAAAATTACCGTAAGGAAAGAGTAAAATTTTCCATTCTTTTTTCTTGTACAAATTTTCTTCTTCTTTAATAAGTAGGGTTCCAAAGTGTCTCTGGTTGACAGAGATTTTACTTGTGAAGGGGATTTGAATCAAGTTTCCCTGGTATAAAGTCAGGTTAGCACCTCAGGCTAATTCTCTGGTAATGCCATTGGTTTTCACTGTGTAGCATGCTGCATGTGAAAACAATCTTTTCGTAGTACATGGTCTAATTTACTTCTTTTTTTTATTGTACCTTTATGTATGTGTACCAGGAGGAGTGATTTAATTTTAAGTTATTATCTTACTGTTTCATAAGATAATCAATTTTTGAATTATGAGTTATGTCTTTGCTTAAATCCTTAGGATTTTCTTGACATTGCACATACCTTGCTAAAAAATTCACTGCCCATGTATCAGTTGTCTTTCTAAGTTAATTTCAGTATATACTAAGCAGCTTTGGCTGTATTCAATTTTTAGAAAATAGCAATACAATTTTTGGTGAAAAAATAGCTAGTAATATTAAAAATTAATCTTTAAAATTGGAAAAATGTGAAACCTTCAAATCTTTGAGAATTGAAGTAACAAACTTCATGAAATCCTAGAAAAATTTACTGGATAAAGATAGTCTAGATTTAATTTTATCCAATCAAAGAGTTTCATATAAAAATGATTTAGGTTATAAATTTAATAGTGCATTTAATAACATTTGTCATGCTAGGAAGAAATTCAATTGTCCTGTCTGTATATGTAATTTTTATAATAAGCTCAGTCATTTGGAGTCTTATTGTTATGTTAAGATAAATGAATTAAAATGTTCTAAAAGAAATAATTCTAGACCTCTTAAAATCACTAATACACCATGATTTAAAAAAGATTTGGGTGATTTAAAAAAGATTTGGGTACAAAAGATGAAAAATTAATTTGTTTTGTAGGAATATTTTATAATTTTGAATTAATTAAATGCGATACAGTTTTGCAAACACGAGTATACAAATAAAATATGATGTTTGGTGGTGTGTTATGATTTTGATAATGTTTGATCAAGTTGTTACTTAATGGAGTTAATTGTGTTGTTCAACGACTTGGATGTTCACGATGATCATGGAACATGGAATCTCTTGAGAGTTTTTTAGATAAATGATCTTCAATGGTCGTGTCATTTTTGAGAAATTTTGAGCCAACTATCGTATCAATAGGTTTATAGTGATGAAAAATCTACAATGATTTATCGTTCTCTTCTAAAGGGAGAGCTTCTCAAGACATCTTGAGATTTTTTATTTAGAAGAGTTTCTCAAGACATCTTGAGATTTTTTGAGGTAAAACATTTGATAGAAGTTAAATCGAAAAACTATGATTGAATCCTCTGAAAAGAGATCTTATATATGTTTAGTGAATATTATTTTATCACTAACATATTTTTTTGTTTGAGTTAAATTTACTTTTATCAAGTTGCCATGCAAAAAATAAAAAGGTTAGCTAAGAGGTGCAATTTTGGTAAGAAAGGGGTGCATAAAGAAAAAAAAAAGATCAAGCTCAAAAGCTATCCAAGGCCCAAAAAGTTAAGAAGAACGAAAATGGTTCCCTAAAGAACTAATCGATTAGACGCGAGTGAAATTAGGATTACGCATCACCTAGTCGATAAACCTTAAGGGCATAATCAATTACATCTTTTTTCTCTTTCAAATCTTCAGCATTTAAGGAGGAAATCAATCAAGCCAGTGATTATTTTTGCTGTAAATCTCATCAAACCAATTCTTATAGAATAAAAGCGTTGAAAAATAAAATTTTCATTGCGATTTAATCGATTAGCCAAATGATTAATCGATTTGAGAGCTTGTTTCGAAAATGTTTTCAAATCAATCTCTTCCAGACAGAACCAATATGATTTTAGATGATTTTCCACACAAAAAGTATATCACAAAAACGCTATTTAAAGGTACAAACTCCTAACCTTTCTTTCATCCAAATTTCTTTTCTCTTATATTGTTTGTGCAAGTGTCTGTTGTTAATATCATCATAACTATGGATCCCATAAAGAGTATTCACCCATCTTCAAAAAATTCACCTCTAAAGGCTTCCTCGTCAAAAGTCATAGAAGATAAATATTTCTCCAAGTGTCAAGTTAATTGGGTTGATTGAATGGTTTGCTACATGTTCAAATACTAGAGGAGTAATTCGTTAGGGTTAACCTACGGAAGCCCGATCATTAAGTTCTTAGTCAAAGTTGAAATCTTAGGCAGATTTATGATAAATCTTTGGGTCAAATCAAGGTCAGAGTTGATGATGGCAATTTAGATAATATTCATATGGAAGCAAATTCTAGCAAGGACAATCAAAATCTTTCTTTTGGAAAGAAGTTTTTAACCCTATTATCAATCTCCCAAGACACCGCCCAGGCTGTTCACAAGTTGAACAAAGAAGTCGCACTCATCAAAAGCACGTGTTGGGAAAGGAACTAGCTAATGATGATAATACAATTTATTAGTCTTGCGTCATGTTTTTTTATCTTGTTCAAGTTGTTTACTTTTAACATCTTCTTGATTTAATGTACTTTGAATTTGTTTAAATTAAATTAATAACAAGCATGTTATTTTCCTTCTTATTTAATCTCCATGATCTATGTGATTGGAGTTATGATCAAGATGATCAAGTTGTTCTTATTGAGAGATAAAGATGTCAAAATCAATCTCTTAAGGACAACAACTAATGTCAAGTAATTTTTGGTGAAATCGTTGATGATCTCAGTTAATTAATCTCTCTGAATATGGTGTGTATCAAGAAGTCTTATCAAACCTCATCAATTAGAAGAAGTTGTTAGAAGTATAATTCTTGTTCTGTCAAAATGCATGTGTATGGTGTATGTCGAATAGCTTATTGTATAAGTTATAAGCTGTATTCGACAGAGTCGAATACAACAAATATTGTAGTATGTCGAAATCATGTTATGGATTTTAGCGTGTTTTATCTAATTGGGCCTGGGCATTGTTTGCCTATATAAAGGGCTGCTGAGTTTATAATTATAAGTGTAATTAATAACCAATTTTTACAATTCAGTTAGAATCACAACAAACTTTCAACCTCTCTCTCTCTCTCTCTCTCTCTCTCTCTCTCTCTCTCTCTCTCTCTCTCTCTCTCTCTCTCTCTCTCTCTCTCTCTCTCTCTCTCTCTCTCTCTCTCTCTCTCTCTCTCTCTCTCTCTTCCATAAATCATATTTCACGAAAACCCTTTGTTCTAACAAATTGGTATAACAGAGCTCGGTTGCGATTCCGAGATAATCTAATGGCAAACAGAACAACAACATCAACACAGTTTCCGGCGAATCTATCAGTTTTCAAAGGTGAAAACTATCCGCGGAAGATTGCGCAGATGAAGGTTATCTTCAGATTTCAAGATGTTGAAATCTTGAATGATAGAATATCAGAACTGGAAACAAATGCGACAGAAGTCCAGAAAACCGCACACAAAGATCAAAAGAAGAAAGACAATAAAACCTTGTTCTTGATTCATCAGTGTGTGGATTCTGATGTATTTGAGAAGATAATTAAAGAAGAAACGACAAATGAGTCTGAGACAAGTTAAAAAACTTGTATGGTGGAGATGAGAAATTGAAGAAGATGAATTTGCAGACGCTAAGGAAGCAATACGAGATGCTTCAGATTAAAGAAGATGAATCAATTTCTGCATATTTTTCAAGAATTGTGATGCTAACAAACCAAATGAAGGCATGTGGTGAATCAATTATGAATGTGCAGAAAATTGAGAAATTGTTAAGATCTTTCACTGCAGATTTTGACTATATTGTTGTGACAATTGAAGAGGCCAAGAATCTATTTGAGTTGAAGTTAGAAGAACTTCAAGCTTCAATAGAGGCTCATGAGATGAGATTGAAGCAGAGAAACTCAGAAAGAGAGAAGGTGGATGAACAAGCATTGTAATCAAGATTCAACAAGAAAGCGGGAAAAGAGAAGTCAAAGCAGCGAAAGAATCTTGCTAGTGATGAGAAGTCAAGCAAGAATACTAATTCGATCAAGAAAGGTGTGGGCAACAAGTATTTTATGAAGAAAGTTGACACGAAAGAGGTGTAGTGTTACAATTGTCAAGGTTTGGTCACTATGCTCGAGACTGTTGAAGAAAGAAAGCAGCAAAGGCGAAAGATAATGATGATGTTCAATATGCATGAGCTGAAGATAATGATTCTGATGATGTGTTGTTGGTGGTGAATACTCAGTCGAACACTGATAAAATGTGGTATCTGGATCCATGATGCAGCAACCACATGATTGACAATAAAACTGGTTTACCAAGTTAGATGAGTCATTCGAAAAGGTGATAAAGTTTGCAGATGGAAGACACATCAAATCAGGTGGTAAAGAGATATTTCAATTGTCAGGAAGGATGGTCGAAAAGCTATTATCACTAAAGTGTTGTATGTACCTTCTATGATAAGCAACTTGATAAGTGTAGGTCAATTACTTGCAAAAGGCTTCAATATGAAGCTGAAGAAGAACCAGATGAAGGTATATAGGGCTGATGGGAGGATATTAACAAAAACACCATTGGCGACGAACAAAACATCCAAAGTTGAACTCAACACATCATACCACAAATGTCTTGCTTCAACTACAGAAGAAGACAAGAACTGGTTATGGCACCACATATATGAA